GCATTCTGCGGCCGCGACCAGGCTGGCCCCGAGGACCCCCTGGTTCCCCTAACGGTCCTTCTTCTTCTTCTTGGGGAGGTGGGAAGCCGAGGCCCCGGGGGCCTCGTCCTTCTGCTTCCCCTTGGTGTCGTTGTTGGGGAAGATGGCCCCAACGGCCTCTTCACCTGAGGCGAAGTTGGTGGCGACATCGAGCAGTACGACCGTCGAGGTTGGCACGTTCCGGCCCAACTCTCGGACCAGGTCTTGGCAGGTGGTACCAGAAAGGAAGGCTTGGACAATTTCTGAGTCGTCGACGCTTGGCAGCTCGGTGCATTTCTTGGAAAAGCGTCGGATGAAGTCTCGGAGGGACTCGTCCGGCGCCTGGCGACAACTTTTGAGGTCCCAGGAGTTCCTTGGGCGCACTTATGTGCCCTGAAAATTCCCGACAAAGACCCTGACCAAGTCGCGCCAGTCGTGGATCTGCGAGGCAAGGAGGTGTTCGAGCCAGGCTCGCGCCGAGTCTGACAGGAACAACGGGAGGTTGCGGATGATGAGCCGGTCATCGTCCGCGCCACCTAGCTGACAAGCCAGGCGATAGTCGGCCAACCAAAGTTCAGGATTAGTTTCGCCGCTGTATTTCGTGAGGTTGGCCGGTTGCCAAAACCGGGCTGGGAAATGGGCGACACGGATAGCTCTGCTAAAGACTCGAGGGCCAGGTGGCTCAGGAGAAGGACTGTTGTCCTCCTCGCTAGCGTAGGGCCACCTCGGTGCACATGGTATCCTCGGGTGGGCCCCTCGCTATCATGGCGCCGTCGCCTGCCGGCTACCTCGTGCTCGACCTGCGCCTCGCATCGGTTGCGTAGCAAGGGGACCCTGTTGAGTGCCGGTGCCCGAGCGGGCTCGGGATGAACCGAGGCCTCCCTATCCTACCGAGGCGGTAATGTGAGAAGTTCCGAGGCGCCACCGCACCGCCGAGAGGCGAAACTTTCAGCCTGCTGCACCGCGGCGGTCTCGAGGAGATCCTGGAGCTCACCGCGGACCCGTCGCCCCTCCGTGGTAGAGGGCTCGGGCATTGTTCGGACTAGCATCGCCGCAGCCGCGACGTTCTGGCTAGCGCGATTAAAGATTGGGGGCTGCTCACCCCCGTCATCGTCGTTGATGCGGTGGTGAACATTGCGGGCCCTCCGCCGGGCTCCTCCACCATCACCGTGACCTTGCTGCTCCTGCTCGAGAGTGTCTCGAAGCTGTTGCAGGAGGAGTCGGTCCTGTTCGACCTTGGCCTGAAGTTCACGGAGCTGCTCCAGGTTCGGGCGTCGAAGTTGTGCAGGGGCGGGGTTCTCGTTCTGTGCTGTCGGCGGGACAACGCGTGGAGGTGTGGTGTCACCCGTTCCCCGGCGAGGCGGGGAACGGTTGCCCGTCCCCTCGTCCTCATCGCCCGTCCTCGGCATCCCGAGTCCGACGTGGAAGCACTCGCGAGTGGGGTCGTAGGAGCCCTCGTCATCAGAGTCGGAGTAGTCGAAACAGTAGTCGCTCGCGGCCAGGAAGCGGTGCATGGATTCAGGGTCTCGTAGTCCGAAGAAGTCTTCCACGGCCCGCACCTCATCCTCCTCCGAGGAGTCAGCGTGGGTGTGGCTCAAAGTCGTGGTGTCGAAGTCGAGGGTGAAGCGTTGGTGGTGTTCTAAGGGCTCTGCGTGAGCAGAGGCATAGGCGGAAGCATAGGTGGCGGCTGTGTTTCTCAACCCGAAGGGGTACGGGGATGGTGCCATTGCCAGGCTATGCTCCGCCGAAGTCGATCCCTCAGGAGGCGGTAGGGCAGAGCTGGATGACGGGGTGTCGCCGCATGCCGCCGGCGCTTCGCCCGCGTCCAGGCTCAGGCAAGTTAGGTCCCCAATCAGGGATCTTGCGCCAATAGCTGGACATGGGGCGCCGGCAGAACACGGTGCGTCACCATGAGCTCGTGTGGTGTCGGCGTGGCCTCGCTCGCGTCGTGTCTGGCGAGCGCGATGAGAGCGGCCGCCTAGGCGCCGTGTGCGCCTGGGCTGCGAGTGCGTGTTGCCGACGTCGGTCGGCGGGGCTCAGGGCGTGAGGAGTACCATATCGTACTCACGTCCTAGAGACATCAACTCTAGGCTCCCGAACCAGATCACCGTGCCAAGACGCAGTGGTCGTACGGGGTCTGCCATCCGGGACTTGTTGGGATGACGAAGTTGACACGCAGAGGCCCCTACCTGGCGCGCCAACTGTCGGTGTTTCGGACCGGGGGTCCTCAACCAACTAGTAAATTTGTACTGTGTGCCCCTAATCTCGGATGGTGATGCAATGAGACACAAGGTTTATACTGGTTCAGACAATCAGTGCCCTACGTCCAGTCTAGGAGATCGATCTTGTATTCCATGCACCGAAGTGCTCGTAGTAGGGGGTTACAAGCAGGGCGAGAGAGGGAGCTAGCCCCAAGTCTCTATGATGAACGGGACGAATTGCTCGAGACGTTGATCTAAGTGTGGGTGCTACAGCCTATGTTCGTCTACCTCGTGAGTTCGGATGTGCCTAAGTGTGTTCTAGTTCATGCCCGTGTCCCTCGTCCCTAGAAACAGCCCCGGTCCCTCCCTTTTATAGTAGAAGGGGGGATGGGGGTGATACATGCGATAGTTACGTGGCGTCGTGTGAACCGAGGCAGCCTGTCCGAGCCCTATAGCCTGTTGCTGTGGCGGAACAGTCGATGGAGTGGTTCTGCCCTTGAAGTGCCAGAGCAGCGCGCCGGTCACATCCGATCCTATACGACATAATAGCTTGTCATAGGGCCTGACGAGCAACGTGCCGGTCGTAGTGCGTTGTTCGCACGAAGTGCCGAGGCTTAGCCGGTGCCGAGGCCGAGCCATCATGGGGGGGCTCGGCAGGTGTGAACCCCAAGGTTGTCGAGACCCTGAGGTAAATTGTCGAGGCGTGGGTGGAGCGGCTGACCCTGCACACTGATTCCGAGGCTACAGGGATCCGAGCTTAACTCCCCATGCCGCCTTGTCCTCGTAGTAGTTAGAGTTAGGCAGCACAGTGCGGTATGGACATTTAGTCGTGGGCACAGTGCTGCGCACAGTGGCCGGTAACTCCTGCCTTGTCTTGTTTCGGGCGGCATGGTGTCGATGTGATTTGCGTCTCGTCGGCCACTCCTCTCGTACCGAGCTGTCATCCGGATGACGTCGTGGGAGTTGTTGGTCGAGGCGGAGGCGATGGGGTGGTTTGCCGAGACTGTCTTGAACGAGGTGGAGCGTTGGTAACTTGTCCGAGGCCTTTTGGGCGGGGTCTCGGGAGAGTCGGAGAATCAGTTTCCTGTCCGAGGCCTCTCGGGCGAGGCCACTGGCAAGGCGGAGAGTTAGTTATCCATCCGAGGCCTTGGATGTGCCCCGCGTGCGATACGGGGGCCTCGACGATCAGCGTCGTACTCGGTTTAGGTGGAATAGTGCGGGACGTGTGTCCACAGGGCACGGTAACCCCTGCACCGTCAGTAAGGGATGGTAAAAATAAGATTTGACCGTTGTCCCATCGCTCCTGTTGCTGTACCCTGCCGGTCGTGGCTGACGTAGCGGGTGCTCGTAGGGGCATTAAATGGATGGGACAGCCTGCCAGAGGGACGATCGAGGCGGAGGCGATGAGGACACGGGACGAGCCCGGCCTTGGGCGAGGCGGAGCGGGATCGGGACGTCCGAGACCCTGACCGGGGGCCTCGGGCGAGGCGGAGATTTGGCCCGAGACCAGATTCGGCCGAGCCGGCCTCGGACATCACCGTGAATTGTGTCCTTAATCTGACTAAGGAGGCCTCATGGGGGTTTTATGAGTTTTGTCGGCTTTTGCTTAGGGTACCCCCTTTTTACAGTACCCGACAATACGGGAGATGATAGAAAGTGCATGTCAGGATATATATTTACTCTCACAGGAGGAGCTATATCATGGAAAAGCTCTAAGCAAACCATCACTACATCGTCTACGATGTATGCTGCGTTTGTAGTGTGTTATAAGGCCATAGGGCAGGTGAATTGGCTGAAGAAGTTCATGCCCGGGTTGAAAGTGGTAGATGACATACATAAGCCACTCAAGTTATACTGCGATAATAATCCAACAGTATGTTATGCTCATAACAACAAGTCAAGTGGTGCTGCCAAACACATTGACATAAAATATTATGTTGTGAAAGACAAAGTCCGGGATCATATAATTAGTCTTGAACACATAAGTACAGAAAAGATGATCGCGGATCCGCTTATAAAAGGCTTACCACCCAACGTGTTCAGATAACACTTAGCCGGCAAAGGTTTAAGGGAAAGCCTAGTTCAGAATCTGTTTCAAAACAGAAAGGTGCATAGTAGTTGTTAATCTAATGGCACTGACCGTGATGATGAGGCACGCTCTATGCCCTGATATGTGATGGAATGGGAAAAAGATAAAGTAAGTTAAGTTTAAGTAATAAGATGAGATCATGGGGGAGATTATTAGCGTTGATCTCTCCAGCTCGGCCCAATGGTTGAGTTGGGCCTTAACCTCGCGCCCTGTTCGGGAGCGTCCAACCCTACATGGTTGGTGGACCCCCCTCGCACAGCGCTATAAAGAGAGGTGGAGGCCGGCGGCTCTCAGTACGAGGTTCACCGTGAGCCACCACACCCATCGATAAAACCAATCCGATCTAGTGAGGGGCGCAGCCAGCGACGGAAAGCTCCACTGCCGTCTTCACCGTCGCCTCTGCGCCACCACTACACTGTGACTGACCTCAACACTGTCACCGCGACACCGCCGACCCGGACCGCATCACTTTCGCCATGGCTACGTCGAGCCCTTCCTCTAAGCCCGCGGATGGTGTCGGTGACATCTCACCTCCCTTCCTCTCTCTCTCGATTTTGTTCTAGAAAGTTTTATCCCAAATATAAGGCTGTACCCATGTCTAGGTGATCACTGTGTCTGTCACAATATACTCACTATATATGCTTGATATTGACCAGCCAACGGATTCTGACTTTCTCTTATTGTTTCTCTTTCTATAACTCCAGCACCAAGTCTGCATCCAGTCAGAGAAAAAGAGATGTTCAGTCGGTGCTCAGCACACAGTGTAAGGCAGGCTACATGCATCATGACATAGTCAAACTAACCGCATGTTTATTTTGGCTTATTTGTTCGTATCTGGCTTATAAACTATGGCTTAAATAGTATTTTTTCTCATACAAAATCAGTGAACCGTATTTTTAGCCACGGCTTATAAGTCAATCCAGTCGGAAGGAACAGTCTGTAAATTGATAGCTGTTGAAGATTCTATTCTTTGCCGATAACGGTATGTAAAGTCTCTCTGTCAAGACTGCTTTTTGCGACTGCAAATTAATTATTGGTGGATTAGGATGAGATAGATGTGTGCTGTGCTGTGATGGGAAGGTGTATGCATGGATGGGATGAGTATGCGCTCACATTCAGCGTCGGTCTTGATCCAGTGGCCGCTCTTGCTGCCGTTGAGCTCGTCGTCGTCGTCGTCGTCGATGGGAGAAGCGGCGCCACCAAAGGAGGCGCGGTTGGCGCAGCAGCCGAACCCTGGCGCGCGCTGCTCCTTGCGGCACCGGAGCTTGGACGACGCCGGCTCGGCGGGCTCGTCGGCGCCACCGCTGCCGCGCTTGCGGCTCTTCTTGGTCAGGTTCCGCGCCAGGGCCGCGCTCTCAGGGTACACTTTCCTGTGGAAGATTTGGAGGATCTGCAAATGAGCAAAATTAACGCTTCCCTGTTTCAGAACTGGCTCATCATTTTTCTGAATTCGACAAAATGGAAAAGAAATCACCATCAAATCAATTTGTAAATTCAAGAATATAATGGCACCAGTCATATGGAATTTTGAAAAGAGTAGAAGGTTCTTCAAATGGTTACTAAACAAAACAAAAAAAATAGATTTCTCCAGAGATTATCTTATTATAGGGACTTGCATAATACATACTATGCACAGAATCTGTTGACAGGAGATTGCAAACAAAAGGGCGTGTCAACTTGCTACCCCCACTTGACAGAATCTGTCAACAAGGCAACAATAGACCACGGATTGAACAGCTTCGTCTTCATCTTCTACCGCCAGATAGCCGCGTCTCTCCTCATGCTGCCAATTGCAGTCCTTCTCGAGAGGTAACTCGATCACCCCGCTGGCCGCTGAGCCGCGCTCTCTCGCCGGCCCGCCCGCCCGCCGCCTATTGCAGTCGCCCATAGGCCATAGCGCTCCCTCCGCCCTCAGCTACTGCATCGCCCTAATCCACAAGCCCGCGATCCGGCGCTGCCTCGTCCGACGTCGCTGTCGTCCTCGAGCCAGCCTCCACGGCCACGACCGAATCAAGGACGCCGCCGCTCCGACGTCACTGCTCTGCGCCACCAACCATCCGCGGGCACGATACCCTGCTCCGTCGCTGTCGTCCTCGAGCCGCCCTCCACGGCCACGACCACCACGCGGAAGCGAGGACGCCGCTCCGACGTCCCTGCTCTGCTTCACGCGTTCTGCGTCCTTCACGGCACCGGTGAGCAGTCCGAACCCCAAAACCTCGTGTCCCCATCACGGACGTCACGGAACCACCAGCACATACACGACACAGGCACACGCTGGGTCGCCGCGCTCACCCCTCGTCGGGGGAGAGCCGCGCGGCCGCCCTGCCCTAGCGCCTCGGCTCCCCGGCGCCCGACCCCGTGCGCTACGCGGACGGCCGCCTCGAGCCCCGTGCCCGCCTCATCCCCTCTCTCTCGGGCTCTCCCCATTTCCTGCTTTCTTCTCCGTTTGGTCGAAGCCGCAGCGGTGCCGGCCGAGCGCCGTGAACCGCGATCTGATCTGCTTCTTAAGGGGTGACGTCATATAGACTCTTTTTCCTATAGTAAAGAAAGCTACGAATACAAATCCAATACACTTACTTATACATGCCCGATACGATATCCATGGCCGTGAACCCCGATAGCCAGCAGCCGGCAGCCGGGGGCCCGGCGGCCGCCTTCAGCAGCGAGGGGCATGTGTGTTTGATTACTCGTTCGGCAGCCCATGTGCAATTTGGCATTCTTCTTCAGTACAGTAGATCATGACCGAGGATATATGCATGGTTCCATATATTATTGAATACTTATGAATCAGCAATAGATCTATAACATAAGTGGACGTTTCATCAAAAAGATTGTCGGATATGATTGCTTAAAAAACACATGCCAGATCTATAACATAAGTGGACGTTTCATCAAAAAGATTGTCGGATATGATTGCTTAAGCTCTAGGAAAATCTCTCTCCCCTTCCTGTTTTGGACATTCCCATGGTTTCGATATACTCTTGCTTTAAAACAGTGCTCCCTCCGTTTCGATTTATAGGTTGTTTTGATTTTTCTAGATAGTTTTACTATGTATCTTGACATATCGTGTATCTATGTGTACCTAAAAAATCTAAAACGACTTATAGTTTGGTAAAGAGAGTGGTACCAAGAAACCATATATACTGGCTTGGAGGAATTAGCTAATTAATTCTTTTGTTAGAAGATTTTTCTTTAAAAAAAAGAACTAGTTGGGTCATGCCACGTCAATTAATAAAGATTATCAAAATATAGCAATTTTTGTGAAATAAAATATAGCAAAATTAATATCATTTATGTGACATGTAAAACTTTTCTACAAATTAGCAACCAAGATTTGACGATTACAATTATTGCAAGCTTTGTATAAGACCCACTTGAAGGAGAATGGAGCAGGTAGGACATCCACGTGCAATTGATTGCCTTGAGTTGTGTTTTTTAGCGGAATGGGCAGGTGTTGTGCCGCTTCATTAAGTTATGTTTTCTTCTAAGCATTGTACCTACTTGATAAAAACAATTTTTTTTGGAAAAAGTCTACTTAACCCCCACCTTTCATACTTGGTCTACTTCACCCCCCAACTATGAAACCGTTTGTTTTACCCCCGAACTTTCCAAAACCGTCTATTTTACCCCCCCCGGACGGTTTTTTGACAGCGGTTTTGCTACAGTAAATCTAATTTTATTAGACTCCACATGAGTAGATCTACACAGTGCATATATAATACGGTATGCTTTAGTATAATTTTTTTTGTAGCTTTAGATTAATTGGAAAATCCAATTTTTTCTGTAATTAATTAGAATTAATCTATAACTAAGTTATACATAGTCCAATGAGTACGAAATTTTTGCTATAGTTTAAGCATACAATAATTAGCGTACCATAAAAATGTCACCACAATTGGACCATAGAAGCCGCAGCTATGAATTATTCCAATTAATTACAGACAAAATTAGATTTTTTAATTAATCTAAGGCTACAGTAAAAATTTTGTACTAAAGCATACCGTATTATATATTCACTGTGTAGATCTACTCATGTGGAGTCCAATAAAATTAGATTTTTTATTTTATGATTTTTCTATGATTTACTATGATTTTTCAAAAATTCACCGAAAATAAGTAAAAAAATATTTCAAACCCACCGACACAGTAGCAAACCACCGTTACTGTAGCAAAACCGCTGTCAAAAAACCGCACGGGGGGAAAAAATAGACGGTTTTGGAAAGTTCAGGGGGTAAAACAGACGGTTTCATAGTTGGGGTGAAGTAGACCAAGTATGAAAGGTGGGGGGTTAAGTAGACTTTTTCTATTTTTTTGTCGCAAACCAAACAGACCCCAGGTTTATCAAGATTTTGAATCAATGAACCAAATTTAAAAGGTTGGTTCAAGATAAGAATTTGCACATTGTATTTCCCTTGAAAAAAGGCCTAAAACACAGAACTTGAGAGATTAATCGATAGTCGTACCTTCTGAAACTTGCTCTTGGTCACTGCCGCACTCGCCAGGGCTCCTTCACCAGCGGTGACTTTCTCATCCTTCACCCACCTCTTCTTCATTGTCTCGTGGCCTCCGCCGCCGCCTTTCCCCGCTTTCCTGTCATCCCTTTCTCCACCGGCGGCTCCACTATCCCCGCCGTCCTCGCCCTCCTCGACGGCGACGAGCGCCACCTTCTCGTCGGCGAAGCGCCTGCGCATGAACAGCTCGCCGAGCGAGGTGCGCCTGCTGCCATTGCTATCCCGCGGCTGCTCGAGGCGCGACTCGGCGGCGTCGCTCACCGGGAGCGAACAGAAGCCCCGCAGTGGCAGATCCACGCCGCCCATGGCGAAGCTCACCCAGCGCCGACGCCACGGTGTCGCCGTGGCGCCGCTGTTATGCCACCGAGGACCTTCTCCAGCTCGGCGCTCACCACCATCAGGTCGTCCTCCGTGGTGGTGTCGTCGTCCTTCTCGGTGATGGCCTCCACCACGGCGACTGCTGCCTTCTCGACGACCGCGGCGGCCTCTGGCGGAGGCGGCGCCGTGTATGTGAATGTGGGCGTGACGGCGCTGTCGGCCTTGTCCCCCTCATATGCGGTGTCGTCGTTGTCGTCAACGTCGGAGTCGGCATCGACGTCGACGTCGTAATCGTCGTCGTCAGCGTCTGCAGGGACCGCGACAGCGGCGATGCCTAGAGTGCCAATGGTGAGGAGCCCACTGCCGCCAAATGTGAAGAGGTCGGCGTCCGGTGGCGGTGAATGATTGTTGGTGAAGTCGTGGTCGCCGGCGAAGTATTCATTGGCGGAGGTGAGGAAGGTGGCCGGGTTCGGCGAGGCCAGCCCGGTGATGCAGTTGTAGGTCCCACTTGTAGAGGAATACTACTGTCAGTGTTTCGGATCGGGGGGTCCTCAACCAACTAGTAAATTTGTACTGCGTGCCCCTAATCCCGGATGGTGGTGCAAAGAGACACAAGGTTTATACTGATTCAGGCAATCAGTGCCCTACATCCAGTCTAGGAGATCGATCTTGTATTCCTTGCACCGAAGTGCTCGTAGTAGGGGGTTACAAGCAGGGCGAGAGAGGGAGCTAGCCCCAAGTCTCTATGATGAACGGGACGAATTGCTCGAGACCTTGATCTAAGTGTGGGTGCTACAGCCTGTGTTCGTCTACCTCGTGAGTTCGTATGTGCCTAAGTGTGTTCCAGTTCATGCCCGTGTCCCTCGTCCCTAGAAACAGCCCCGGTCCCTCCCTTTTATAGTAGAAGGGGGGATGGGGGTGATACATGCGCTAGTTATGTGGCGTCGTGTGAACAGAGGTGGCCTGTCCGAGCCCTGTAGCCTGTTGCTGTGGCAGAACAGTCGATGGAGTGGTTCTGCCCTTGAAGTGCCGGAGCAGCGCGCCGGTCACATCCGATCATGTACGACATAATAGCTTGTCGTAGGGCCTGACGAGTGACGTGTCGGTCATAGTGTGTTGTCCGCATGAAGTGCCGAGGCTTAGTCGGTGCCGAGACCGAGCCATCGCGGGGGGCTCGGCAAGTGCGAACCCCAAGGTTATAGAGACCCTGAGGTGAATTGCCGAGGCGTGGAGGGAGCGGCTGACCCTGTACACTGATTCCGAGGCTACAGGGATCCGAGCTTAACTCCCCATGCCGCGTTGTCCTTGGAGTAGTTAGAGTTAGGCAGCACAGTGCGGTATGGACATTAGTCGTGGGCACAGTGCCGCGCACAGTGGCCGGTAACTCCTGCCTTGTCTTGTTTCGGGCGGCATTGTGTCGATGTGACTTGCGTCTCGTCGGCCACTCCTCTCGTGCCGAGCCATCATCTGGACGACGTCATGGGAGTGGTTGGTCGAGGCGGAGGCGATGGGGTTGTTTGTCGAGCCGACCTTAAGTCAGGTGGAGAATCGGTAACTCGTCCGAGGCCTTCTGGGCGGGGCCTCGGGCGAGTCGGAGAATCGGTTCCCCATCCAAGGCCTCTCGGGCGAGGCTTTTAGCGAGGCGGAGAGTTAGTTATCCATCCGAGGCCTTGGACGTGCCCCGCGTGCGATACGGGGGCCTCGACGGTCAGCGTCGTACTCGGTTTAGGTGGAATAGTGCGGGACGTGTGTCCACAGGGCACGGTAACCCTGTATCGTTAGCAGGGGATGGTAAAAAGAAGATTTGACCGTTGTCCTATCGCCCCTGTCGCTGTACCCTGCCGGTTATGGCTGACGTAGCTGATGCATGCAGGCGTATTTAAATGGATGGGACAGCCTGCCAGAGGGATGGTCGAGCGGAGGCGACGAGGACACGGGACGAGCCCGGCCTCGGGCGAGGCGGAGCGAGATCGAGACGTCCGAGACCCTGACCGGGGACCTCGGGCGAGGCGGAGATTTGGTCCGAGACCGGATTCGGTCGAGCCGGCCTCGGACATCACCGTGAACTGTTTTCTTAGTTTGACTAAGGAGGCCTCATGGGGGTTTTATGAGTTTTGTCGGCTTTTGCTTAGGGTACCCCTTTTTACGGTACCCGACAACTACTTTGTTAGTAAGGTTGTGTTTAATTCGTTGAGTTTTTTTTAATGATTATATGGTGATTTTTTTGTACTTTTGCCTTAGCGATGACCCTTTTTGTAAAGTAAAATATTCCAAACTTTGACAGATGTCTAATTTTCGTGTTTAATTTAAGACTTTGTAGGGATATGAATTGATTTGTCTTTTTTTTTCTAAGAGAAACAAAGTAGATTTACCTTGAACATTAGTTTTGCAGAAATACATATTTGTCCTTTGTTACAGATATTTTTATTGAAGTTCGATATGGTTCACTTCAGACAACCAAAAGCTTTACTTTTTTTACTATAATAAAGGGAGTAGAATAGATGGATCACAGTGGTGGAACATGCACACCTAGGTTCGAGACCAAGATAAGATCATGTTTTCCTTGATTAATTTCAATAAGAAATCATGCTATTCACCTAGTGGTAGGCGTCCTATGCTATGTATATCTATCAAATGATAAGCTATGAAGATGCACGATATACAAGATTCCTATACAATTTTACGCCTTAGTTTAGTTCCACCCCAACTTCCAAAAAGTTGCTACAGTACCTATCACATCGAATGTTTGCGGCCCGTGCATGGAGCATTAAATGTAGACGAAAAGAAAAACTAATTGCACAGTTTGGTGGGAAATTGCGAGACGAACGTTTTGAGCCTAATTAGTCCATATTTGAACACTATTTACCAAATAAAAACGAACGTGCTACAGTAACCCCAAAATCTAAATTTCTCTAACTAAACAAGGGCTTACACGAAAAGGAAGACCACGTTGTTCTTACATTCTAAAAACAAAAGCAATGGGAAAAAGGACTCGTCGTGAACGGTAAGGAAAAAAACTGAAATTAAGTTCTTCACAAAAAAATTGAAACCAAAATTGAGTATTTTGATTTCTTATTGAATATGTACAGTATCAGCTAAGGTAATCAGTGTCAAATTTACATGCTTCTGTTAAATTAATAAAAATTTAAATTCAAACTGGATATCCTGACATTTTTTCTAGCTCACACTAAGCTACAAAAATATCAAAATGTGGTATCCGACTAAAAAACGTGAAAAATCTTGCAATATATTCCTTGAAAACAAGAATGAGGATACCTTCATATAGGACAATGTTGCTATAAAGAAATATTATCTAGACTTATGATATGGGGGTGCTGCTTGCACTGCAACTGTTGAGCTAGAAAGGAATGGCATGTGCCATGTCCAGTCCAATGTGACAAACAGCAGGGATCCACACCGTTTAAATCTAGCGTCCTGAAATGAAATTACTACGTACGCTATAGCTGACAACTTGACATGTGGACCAATATATTAGCTTCCACGTGTGCCTGCTTGTCAGTGATGGGTCATGTTCGCTTATCTTGTAATCCGTATTTTTCAGCTTTTTTAGTCAGAACAGTATTTTTCTCTCATAATAAATCAGCCGGAACAATATTTTGGCTTATTTTTTCAGCGAAACGAACGGCATAACAATATGATAAAACTAGTCCTCATTATGGCCCATACAGTCCTAGCCTGACTCCTATAGTCATATGTGCTGTATGATCAATTGTAACCTGAAAGATGATCATGAAAAGGCTGATTTCATTTCTCTTCTTGATAAGAAAATCCCATTTTCCAATGGAATTAGAAAACTGCATGTACAGATCAAATAAACTGCAAGGAAGAGGACAGAGAGATAGAAGGCAGATGAGATGAATGCACCTCCACCGTTGTTGAACTCTTTGAACACATCATTACTATTCTGTCGTAACTTCCGGTGCATCCAACCGAGGAGCTGATCATACATACATACATGCATAAAAAAGATCATAATTCAGAAACAGAGTTTTGTTGCGTAACAATCAACTAAATGAACCGCAGAACAAACAATTCAGAGGAAGGGAGGCTTAGAGAATGATTATAGCTGCATTGGTCCTATATTCATAAACCACCATCGCTTAAGAACTAAAAGAGAAAAGATCAAGAATTCAAGGATTTTAAAACGAAATCGTTATTTTCGAAATCAATCAGCAAGAGGACACCATTCGCCAGAAACTAGCAAGCTAGGTAGGGTGGTAAACTAAGAAAAGTTGAGAAATGAGCATGAGGATTGAGGAGGGAGTTAAATGTAGGACTACTGACCTTCATGTTGGAGAGGCTTGTCTAAGCCGAGCGCTGGAGCTAGACGAGCCATTAATAGATGATGAAGGAAGCCGCCAGAGGCAGAAACAGAATGGCCGGGACGCACTGCAGCTGCAGCTGCAGCTGCAGGAGTGATCCATCAGTCGGCAGATCACAACATAAAGAAGGCTACAAATGGCCGAGTACAGGTACAAAGAAGGACCCATGTAATGTAGTAAGCCGCAGCCTGAGCAACCGGCCCTACTTTGTAGATTTGCGTATAATTAACCTCATATATAAAATTCTTGATAATAACCAAATTTGGAGATTATCTCGTAATAAAGCTTTCTATATATCAACAGCCATGATTAATTAGTTTGTTTGGTACCTAATGCCACACAGCCTTTATAATGAATGAATGAATCCGTTGGTACGATCGATCGACTCCGATCAATATGAACAGCAGCATGTCACAGCAACCTCTCTCTGTCCGTGGTCACTTCACTTTCAAATCAGCAGGTGTGTGAAAGCAGTACTCTCAACTTTCCTGCATGCTTTTTCTTCGTCGAATTAGTCATTCGTCGTCACACATTTAACAGATCCAAGCCGCGTTGAGTTCGCTGAAAAAATAAACCGAAACATTGTTCCGGCTGATTTATTATGAGAGAAAAATATTATTTTAGTTAAAAAAACAAGCTGAAAAATACATATTATAAGAGAAGCAAACATACCCAAAGCTATTGGTAACTAGCTAGCTATGAGTAGCGTACTTGCAAATTCAATTTGGTTTAGCCGTACAGAAAGCCTTTATAATGAATGTGAGATGGCGAGTGAACAACTGAACTGAGACTGGAGCATCAAGCAAGGATGGTATCAATCAGTCATCCGAGAAAAAAGAGCATAGCTGATGAATTGACGGATCTGTATTGCAATCAGCAACAGCAAGCTAGCAAATCGATGGGTAATATAAAGGTGCCATGCCGGACGGACTGATAGATGTACCGACCGACACGACACAACGTAAGTATTGCCATGTCAAATTAGTGACATGTATACATGTCAATCATGCTATTAACATTTAAGCATTTTATTAATTGATGTTAATTAGAATTGTCAATATATAATCGGTTCTATATATGTAATCCCTCGTGTATAACGCTAACAGGAAGTGAGCTAGCTAAACTGGTTAGAAGGGAGGCGTGGTCATGCACCCAACCACCTAGGTTCAGTCCTCTTTTAGACGGAATTTGGGTGTATATTTCTCTTTTTAATGAAAAATCACCTAGTTCCTCCTAGGTTGGATCTTCTTTTTTTTTTTGCTTATAACGCTAACGATCACGAAAGAGGGGTTGTTTTCCCTTTCCATGTCAACGAGGTACAATGTTTGGTGACTATATATTTTTTCACATTAGTACTAGAAAAATATTTTGGAAATATACTAATATTATTGGAAAATTTTGGTCAATTTCAGTCCCTGTCAACTATATTACAGAATTCTTGTTTTTAACCTCTCAATGACAAATCATGAATTGGAACCTATTTACTGTCAATGTTGTTCTCAAAATCGTCATTTTATTGTAGTACCATTTATAACTTTTAAGCTCCTTGATTAAGCCATGATTCGATGATTCTAATTATAATTTGTTTTCTTATTACTTTTAGTTATGTACTCTAGTCCTATATTAGGACGATCTTATGATTCCAATCTTACTTAAAGGTTTCCGATATGATTAGCTACCAACACATGGTTGAGATGTGTCCATGTGCGTCGATTGATGATGAGTGATTGTCACAAGATGATCAAGCTTTGGTTGAGCTTGGAGAGTATTATCATAAGTGTGGTATTGTGCAACATGTCTCTTGTCTTGTGGTGTGCAGTTGTGGAGCACTAAGACGGTCGACAACTATGGAGAAGGTCAAGCGGGTTCATGCCGACGGACTAGGAGCGGTGAAGGATGGATGTGAGGCTTGGACCAAGGGACAGAGGGCCGAAAGACTGGTCGCGTGGGTGGCTAACACATGGGGACATCGACATGCAAGTGTGCATTGGAGGAGTAAACCGTGTTGGCTAAGCCAAGATAGCGGTTGACCAAATCAAGTGGAGGTGTGAAGGACTTGATGATCGGACGGTCAAGGACAAGTGGTGACACGCATCGAGATCATGGAGGATGGTAACAGATACGCTTCTCCAACTAGGTTTGGTGGTTTGGGCCTCAAAACCACATGCGGATGGTTTGCCAGGTTCGGGCCTCAAAACTCGGGATTGAGTTCGAGGCAGCATGTGGCGTCATGTTATGAAGGGCTCGTGGCTGTCAGATGCATGGGTATCTACTTGGACCATTTTGCCCCTAGGATTAAGTGGTTAAACCAAAATATCTAGGGGCATGTTTGGAATGTGTAAAAAACTCTATAAATAAGAGGGAGGCTGCCCAAACTAGCCATCCCTTCCAATTACTTTCATTTCAGTCTTTAGGTGCTTAGCTAGAAAAGTGTTTCCTAGAGTCTATACTATGAGAGAGATCCATAGATGAGAGACTGAGTCCTCTGTCTATATTCCTTTGTAAGACCATGTCTTGTTCAAGTTAGATCTTGTAGAAATAAAGAAGTTGTCTTCTAAAATCAAAGTCCCAAGATCTCTTGCTTTGAATCGATTTGGTTTTTCCTCTTTCCGAACCCTTCTCTCTTTGTTTTTTTGGTGGTTTATTTGAATATGAGCTTTTGAGTTGGTTTTGGCTAGATGAATATGTGCTAGGATCCTTGAGGAACGTGTCTACCGACCAGATTTGGTAGTTTCCTCACGAGCACGGAGTTTGGGGATTTTGACGAAAGTTGAGAAAATCCCAAACCGGGAGATGGATTTCTATATTCTTGGAGTTTCCTTGATCTTTAGGGGATAATTTCTAAACATCTTTACAAACATCTCAGCAAAATTTGAGCTCAATCAGACTTCATTTGATCGAATTTTGCCTTGTTCCTGTTTTGTTTCAGGCTGCTGAAATTACCGAAGCAGGCTAGGCCAATATCCTGGCTAGGCCATGTTTCCATCTTGACTCGGCCAGGTTTCCAAGTTGTGCAGTGTGCAACCCGGCTAGGTTGGCTTCTCATCCTGTCTAGGCCGGCTTGTGCCTATGTAGTTTGCGTTTTCGATGTGTTTTTGAGTTCCGGGTCTCCTTTCTTCAATCGGTTTCTTCCGTGAGCTTTTTGAGATGTCAAGAAAGGTTTGGAAATCATCAAGTCATTAGTTGTCTTGGGTGATTCCAATTTAGGCTCTTGCTTCGGTTAAGTTGAAGTTGAGAGCCTCTTGGTTGTGAACTTTTGTGTGTCTTGCTTCTTTGCTTGGTGCTCTGCTTTAGTGAATGTTCTGTTTTGTTCTCTAGAGTTTCCTAAGGGCATCAAATCAGCAGTTGACTCGTGTGCACTTCACCATAGAGTTTTGGTGTTTTGAGCGCTTTGGGGCTTGATTTGGGACAATGGCTGAAATCGAAAGAAAATTGGAGTAGACTTCCATTCACCCCCCTCTTGTCACCTTTCTTGGTCCTTCATTTGCAAGGATCAATGGTACAACCTATGTTCGTACAAACAAAGGGTTCGCATATACTACCTCCATCTATCCCAAAACAAATCTCAATTCCTAAAGTCACATAAAGTCAAACTATCTTAATAAATTTGACCAACTTTACAAGAGTAATATCGTCTATGATACCAAATAAGAAATTTATAAAAAAAGAATATATTTTATGATATATGCAGTGATACTATTTTGATGTCATAAATATTATATTCTTTCCCATATCGGCTTTTGTGCCTATAGACAAATGTATTCCTGTTCCGCTACAACATACATGCAGGACTATACGCAGACCGCAAAGTAGGGCCCCAGCATGCATGACATGGGGTCTACTCCCTTTGTCCTAGAATAGATGTCATTATGGGATGCGTGCATGTCAAACTTTTTTAACTTTGACTATATTTATAGAAAATACGTGCAACATTTATGTCTCCAAATAAATTTATTATGATAGTTTATTCAACGACCTATCTAATGATACTAATTATATATTATAAATATTAATATTCTTTTATATATAATTTTATCAAAGTTAAAAAAAAGCTAACTTATCGGGAAGCGAGAATGACTTCTATTTTGGAACAGATGGAGTATCTGTCAAATTAACCAAAGTTCACATATTGATGTCAACAGCACCATAAACATGCATTATATTCTTCACTGGTTTGAAATTAATTTACAGCTCGATTGACTGCATATGTTTCTTACAAAGAGAGCAGTGACATCGAAACTGGACCCCTATGATTTTATAGAACTAGCAGTGCATGATCGAAACAAATCCATAATATTATATAGGAAAAAATCCATATTGCTCCCTTCAAGTTTGGCCTATGTTTAAATAACCCCCCAAACTAACATTTGGTTCAATTTACTCCCTTCAACTATTTAAGTTGGTCCAACTAACACCTTAAAGAGATTTTTCTTTTTTGTTTCTCTATGTACAAATTATATTTTAGTTTAAAATTTTGTGATGTGATAGAGGACATTGTATTTTGTGTTAGAAAAATGCACTATGAATTTTTCATCATATGTTTTCTACGATATTGTATCTCTAATGTTAATTTATTATTAAATTTCTGAAGCTATCAAAATAGTGGTAAAAAGTTAAGATATATTTTACTAACATAACTTATGATGTTCTCTATCATATCACAAAAGTTGATATTAAGACTCAACTAATACGTGGAAAAAACAAAACTAACAAATCATGTTAAGGGGTAAACTAGGGCAGACCCAGTGCTGGAGGCTCCCACATGAGTGGGGTCTGGGGAAGGGAAAAAACGAGGTAAGCCTTCCCCCCGCAAAATCTACAGAGAGACTGCTTTGAACCCGTGACCTAGTGACCAACTGAAATAGTTGGAGAGAGTAAATTGAACCAAATGTAAGTTTATGGGGTAATTTGAATATATGCTAAACATGTGGGGAGTAATTTGGACATTTCCCTATTATATAATGTGCA